ATATATATATATATGTATATATACACACACACGTATTATATGTATATGTGTGTGTATATTTATATATATATATATATATATATATATATATATATATATATATATACACATACACACACATATATATATATATATAAAATCCCGCCTCTGGGGATACACGGAACATAAAATGTCTCTGTACAGACCAAAGGCGAGTACGAACTCGGGGATTGATGCCTGACTTTAAGGGCCCCTGACAAATCCCCGTAGTTATAGGTCCTGTTCTCTACACTATCCTGCGAGGCAATCAGTAGAGAGACTAAATTAATATCCTTACCCTCAATGATGTCTTTCCTGATGGATGTGGGGATCAAATGTGCGAATGTGACAATGTGAGATGTGGAGGGAAGGGGAGAAACTGTGCTGGAACTATTCTGTGAGATTGCCACCAAGGGGGTAGTAACCACGGCCGACTTGCTGCAGTGGGCTGGGGAATAGGGTGAGCTGTTACAAGTACTGTCTGCTGATCGGTTATGACTTGCATGGAGGCAATCAATAGGGACATCCTGCCCTGCACTTTCCCCAAGCCGTCAAAACTTCTTCCCTGAGAACTCATAATGGGTCTGGGGTCATTGGACTGAGTGGATACGAGCTTAAAAGGTTCCTCCTTCCTTTTAGTGGCAGGGAAGGGGATGCTCCTCTTGCGCAGCTCGGCCACAAACTTGGGTATAGTCCATGACCTCAAGGACCTGCGAGTGGCAGGGGTGAGTGACTCAGCAGGAGAACTAGGGTGAGAGGGAGTGCAGGGCCTAGCTGGAGTTTGAGGAAGAGGCAGGTCGTTTTCATGATCAGAGGCTTGAGACATGCTAAAATTAATAAAATAAACAAACAATGACCCATACCACAGAGTACCGACTTATAGAACTGGCTGGCTGATATAGTGCCATTAGGCGAAGAATTAATCTACCCCGTGATAGGTGAGGCCCTGCTAGTTGCCAAGTGGCAGAGAGAGGCTCTAACTATGATTTGGCCCGATGGGAACGTGGCCACCGAAATGTTGTGGCAGGGGGTTGACCTCTTGGTGATGTTAAGAGAATCAATACGTATGGCCGTGATAGGTGACTTCTAACTAATTAACACCCTAAAGAAGGGTCTGTGAGACAATAACTATAAAGTGGGGTCATGTGGGCAAGCCTCTGGTTTGAGGCAGGTCGTCTGACCTTGCCAGTGTGAGACCAATATGAGTAAGAAAAGTGAAGGTTAGCACCTGAAACCTATAAGCTAGTTCACTTTCCCTAGACATGGGCTTGACTCTTATGAAGCGTAATGTGTGAGGATAAGGCACGAACCTTGAAAGAAATAAAATAGCCTAACAACAGGAAAATGGTAAATACAGGGAGTATACACCTATAAAAAGAATTTACTCAATTATTGAGGGGTAAGTAAAATAGAAAGTAGAAAGGGGGCGATAGGACAATTCACCTACCAAAAAGGTGTCAGAAGTATGCTTCTCCTAGGAAGCAGGAAAATATTTTGAATAGAGATCTATGAGGAAAAGTAAAACGTATGCATAAGAGTATAATAATAACACGGGGGATAATAATAAAATGTATATTAAGGGAGCTGGAAATACCTGTGAGAGACTGAAATACACTGTATCCTCTAATATCAGGAAAGTATAGAGAGGATTCTAAGCAGGAATTGAAATTACATGAAATAAAGGAACGTATAGAACTTAAACCATAATTATATAGTGAGAACAGCATACGAGGGTCAATGCTAACAGACAAGCCCTACGCCATCCCCTGAGGACTAATGGGCGTACGAGTAAGCTAGACTGCTAGCAAGTGAAAACACAGATAACATGGTGTTTTCCATAATGTAATGTAAAATGTAAAAACGTAATAAAAGTACCTTAACATAGACAGAGCGTAATTGATGAGATAGATATGTGACAACGTCAGGAGGGCCACGAAAGTAGTTTAGGAAAAAGGAATGCTGTGGGGACATTTAAATGGCCAGCTAGATTTGGTAATGCATGAATAAATGAATATTGAGCCATAAATTAGTTTAAATAAGTTCAATGAAGTATGTAATTATTACCAGTCCGAAACCCATTTTAGTAGATAACACCTAAAAAAGAAAATGGGGGTAATTTGCAAAATCCCGGACTTAAGCAAACAACAGATATGAATTTATGTGAAATGAATATCATGATAACCAAACTATAGGTAAGGAAGCACTTAAGTGACATGAAAGTACCGAAACGGTAAATATTTTTGCGAACTTTCTCTGTGTAACATTGCTAAGGGCTCAAACTCGTGAATATGCTTGAGAAACATACGAAATGTAACGGATAAGTGTTAAACAACACATACGCATGCGAACGGAATGTTTATGCGAACGTTCGGCTGTTTAGCATGCATACGAAACATAGGAATTAATACGAAACCTTCTTTCCACAAACACTGCGAAGGGCGCGAAAGCTCCTATGATGCACCGAACACTGTACGTATGAATATGAAATAGCACAAACACCAGCCACGGGCGTTCGGGAGAAAGCCTTGCGTTATCTGTGAAGACCATTAGACAGGAACCTGGAAGCGGATCGGCAACGAGACTCTGATGCGGTTTGAAGTAAGCTGGTAGCCCGGAGCGGTCAGATTTCATGGCTAAGTACAGGGAAAAGATTTTGGCAGTAAGAGCCGCACCGGAAGTCTACATGGTAGAAGATAGATTCAAACTCCTCCCACAAATACAGGCCTATGGCCTTAAAACATATATATACACAGATAGCGTGAAGATAGCACTCTCAGGATATTTTAAGTAAAACTTAAAGGGACACTCCAGGCACCCAGACCACTTCTGCCCATTGGAGTGGTCTGGGTGCCAACTCCCACTACCCATAACCCTGCAAGTGTAATTATTGCAGTTTTTATAAACTGCAATAATTACCTTGCAGGGTTAACGCCTCCTCTAGTGGCTGTCTCCCTCCCACCCCTTCAGCAACATGGGATGGGGGGTGGGAGGGAGAGGGGACCTGCAGTGCCAGGAAAACGATTTGTTTTCCTGGCACTGGAGTGTCCCTTTAACTTTTAAAGTCCATAGTTAAAAGATCGACGTTTCAGTTTGCAACCCAAACTTTCATCAGGATAGAAAATATATATATATTTTTATAAGAAACAAATAAAAACGCTAACTTTGGCCAGTGTTTGTGACTAAGTGGCTACTACAAAAGACTGGAAATACCCCATTTGGAATACCCTGGGTTATCTACATTTGAAAATGGTATGCCATGATGGGATTATTTCACATTCCTGGGCTACCATATGGTCTCAAAAGGCAACCCAGCAAACCAATCTGGCAAATGGAATTGGACAAGTCCTATATTGACCCTGTAATTTTCCAAAACACCATAAAACCTGTACATAGGGGGTATTGTTATACTCAGGAGACTTTGCTGAACACAAATATGAGTGTTTAAAACAGTAAGACTTACCACTACAATGAAATCACCAGTAAAGGTGCAGTTTTTGTGTAAAAAAAACTAATATGAACGCTAACTTTGGCAAGCCTTTGTAGCTAAGTGGCTACTACAAAAGACTGGACATACCCCATTTTGAATACCGTGGGCTGTCTACTTTTACAAATGGTATGCCATGATGGGGTTAATTTTCATTCCTGGTGTAAGAAATTATGACCCTCTTGCAAGGATATTCTTTTAGGGAATGAGTGACATAAGTCACAGACACAAGTGTATAATAAAATGTATTGTAAATATTGATTTAGGATACTGTTACAGATTTAAAAAGGATATACACCTTACACATTATAACCATATCCAGTACATAATCAAAAGATACATAGTAAAAGGGCAATGCTTAGACATTTAAATGAAGATCTTCCCCTTGCGCCTTCATCCTGGGTAGTCTGGGACAGTCTCTCTAAGTTCACCATGGCACCTCTGCTTTGCTGCTCTGTCCTACCCAAAAAGAGACGAAGAGGGAAAAAGACAAGAGAGCGACCTCCTTGGCTGTTGTCCTTTTAAAAGACTGATTCTTGCAGTCATTAACTTCATGTCCCAGAATTCCTTTTCCCTCCCAAATGTGGTTTATCCAGCCCTCTTTCTCCAGAGAGTTCTGTCTTTACACAAGTCTTTCCCTTTGATCTCTTCCCTCCAACTATTCTGTAACATTATGTAAGATGTAACCAGTTAGGGTTGGTTACTGGGTAGGTTGGGAGCAGGCCTGGACTTCTTTTAGAGACAGGATGGCTTGGGAAAACACACACTTCCATGGTTACCCCTAGATGTTCATTAATCTGATCATCTGATAACATGCATGGAAATCTGGTTGGCAGGAGAACTGCTGGAGGGATGTAAGTTTTTGTTTTAGCTGGGTGCTGTAAAATGCAACTGAAAGCTTTCATCATTATCACACTGTTATTAAGTAGATGAGAACAGAGAGTTCTAACGTTTAATAATGAGTTTCTAACAGGTGGTCTCAACTAGTAAAAGAAAGCTCCCATATAGGCTTTAAAATAAAATAGAGTAAACATAGATAGTAATATAGAAATCTATACGTACTAGGAAATCACCTAATAGATAGCTCTTATAGACGGCTAAGAGCTATCTGTTAGGTGATTTCCTAGTACGTATAAATTTCTATATTGCTATCTATGTTTACTCCATAATATATACAATGTTTTGCATATCAATTTCTTACACTGGGCTGCCAGACGGTCTCAAAGGCAACATAGACCCAGCAAACCAATCTGGCAAATTTCAATGTGAAAACATGGAAAAGGAGAAAGCCATACATTTGACCCCTGTAAGTTTGCAAAAACCCATAAAACCTGTACATTGGGGGCACTGTTGTACTCAGGAGATGTTGCTGAACACATATTGAGGTGTTCTGTGTCAGTAACACGTAACAGGAACTAAGAATCCATACCTAAAGTACAATGTGAGAGAAAAATAAAACAAAAAAATGATAACCCAAAAGTTTGACAAAGACTGATGGTATAATTAGTGCATGGAAAGTGTTAAAATACCACCATTTGAAATACCCTAGGGTGTCTACGTTTAAAAAAAATATATGGTTTGATGGGGGTAAATTACATTGGCCGGCTTCAAAAATGTCCCAAATAGGACATGGATGCATGATGACTAGCTGTGAAAATTCCAAGTTGGAAAACTGGAATGCACACTCTCGAAATAAGGTCTTTTAGCCCCCAGAGAACCCAACACACCTATACATAGGTGGTATCACCGTACTCAGGAGATGTTGCTGAACACATATTGGGGTGTTCTTTGGCAGTAACCCTTACAGTTCTCCGTAGATGTATTCTTAAACTGCTATGTGTGTCCCAAAAAATCACCAATAATTTTTTTGTTTGTTTAAATTTAAAGATTGGTGGTAAAATGGTTGCATGAAAAGAGTCAAAATACCCCAAGTTCAATACCTTAGGTCGTCTTCTTTAAAAATATATATACATGTGAAGGGTTATTCAGGGATTCCTGACAGATATTAGTGTTACAATGTAACATGTGTTAATTTTGAGAAAAAATGGTTTGGAAAGTGCTACTTGTACATATAGCCCTATAACTTTCCAAAAAGCTAAGAACTTGTTAACATTGGGCATTTCTAAACTCAGAACAAAATTTAGAAACTATTTAGTATGGGTGTTTTTTGGTGGTTGTAGATGCGTAACAGATTTTGGAGAAAAAGTGTGGTTTTTAAAAAAATTTTCATCATATTTTATAATTTTTCTTATAGTAAATTATATGATATGATAAAAATAATGGTATTTTTAGAAAGACCATTTAATGGCGAGAAAAAAAAGGTATACAACATGTGTGGGTACAGTAAATGAGTAAGGAAAATTACAGCTAAACACAAACACCGCAGAAATGTAAAAAGAGCCCTGGTCATTAACGGTAAGAAAATTGAAAAACGGTCTGGTCACTAAAGGGTAATATCAATGTGTGCAGATAACTGAACTCCACATTTGCAATCCTGTTTGTGATCTTTGTAAACAAATGTATTATATGTCATTTTACAGTTTTCACGGTGCTCGATACTCGGTGCTTATGGTTCACGGTGCTCAAGGTGTTAAAGAGATTAATGTTGGTGGTGTTCAACCCTCCTGCACAACTTTAATGCAAAAGAATAAAAGTACTGGACCCGTCAGAAGCTCTCCTTTCATTATTTACTTGATGCCGAAGGGGCTGCAACAAAGCCTCTCTAATAGGAAGTGACTTATTATTTTGTTCTGGGATTCTGTTTTAATCATGTTTGCATATGTACATATCATGTCAGAAATAATTTACTTTGCATTGGAGCTATTCTCTCTTTAAAGTGTTAATCTTTGGAGGATTAATTAGCCTCTTCAAAAATGAAGCAGGTGCTGCATGAACTAATGATTTTCCCTGCCATTTGGGAGGTTTGTGTTTTTTAATACTTTTACACAGTAATCTGATGCAAATGAAGAGGTTAAGAGATATAAGTATAATATACTGTATATTATTATTACATATTATTAGGCTTAAATAGAATATATAATGTGTGACTATATAGAGTACAAGAGCTTAGGTGGTCACTAGTTTTGCCCCCAGATATGACCAGTCTTGAATTCTACGTATGAACATTGGGTTTAATCTGATTGTGCTTTTTCATTACAATGGGCCAGGCCAAGCTAGTATTTGCTCTCATGAACAATTAAGATTTAATAATAATAAAAAGAACTTTTGAGCAAAGTACCTGGGTGCCATCCATTTTGGTATGATACAAAAATGCTACATTTGCTGCAACCCAGTTTGAATTGTATATTACCTTATTGGTCAGGGTAAGGTATATTTTTAAACCTATACAAATTCTAAATGTATCAGAATGTCATAGTTTTTACATATTATGTATATTTATATTTATGTCTCAGGCAAGTAATCTTGAATCTGATAGGTAAGACAGTTTGTTCACTTTTCCCTTTTAGGAGGCTATTCGTTTGGACTGAAATTCCTCTTACAGGCAAATAGCCCTTTGTGTCAAGGGATGTCTTTAATTATTGGTAAGGTGCACTCACTGGCGGATCCAGGGGGTGGGGGGGCAACGGGGCAATTGCCCCCCCTGAGATTCTCCCCTGCCGGCTAATGCAGGGCTGGCATTGTCCAAGTGCCAGCCCTGCAATGTACCTGCGGACCGGGGGGATCACAGATCAGAAATCTCCCTCCCGGTCCGCAGGCACGCAGGAGAGGGAGTGAGAGAGGACCCAGGAGCTCTTACCTGCAGCTCCTCCGGGTCCTACTCTCGCGAGCACGAAGCTTTGCCGCGGTTACCACGGCAATGCTCCAAATCTTGTGAGAGTGAACTCTAGCCCTGGAGCAAAGGACTAGAGTTCACCTCACCACCACTGGGACCACCAGGGAATCCCCACCGGACCACCAGGGATAAAGAAATGTCCCCCCTCCTCCTCAATAATGGTAAGAAGGGAGGGGGGACATAATTATATTAATTTTATTAAATAAAATTTTTAAAAAATATATTAAAAAGCCTCCCACCCTCCTTCCCCCCCATGCACACACTGCACACCCATACACACATTGCCCCCCATACACACACTGCCCCCCCATACACACATTGCCCCACACATACATACAGTGCCCCCATACACACATTGCCCCACACATACATACAGTGCCCCACCCATACACACATTGCACACATACATACACCCCCATACACACATTGCCCCACACACACATTGCCCCACACATACATACAGTGCCCCCATACACACATTGCCCCACATACACATGCCCCATACACACATTGCCCCACATACATACAGTGCCCCCCATACACACATTGCCCCACACACACTGCCCCATACACACATTGCCCCACACATACATACAGTGCCCCCCATACACACACTGCCCCACACACACATACCCCCCCATACACACACTGCCCCACACATACACCCCATACACACACTGCCCCACACACACATACAGTGCCCCCCCATACACACATAAACACACATACACTGCAACTCTCACACACACTGCCCCCTCACATACACACTGCACCCACACATACACTGCCCCCTAACACACACACTGCAACCCTGACATACACTGCCGCCCTCACGCACACACTTCACCGCTCACACACACACACACACTGCACCTTTAATACACACTTCACCCCTAACACATACCACTGCTCCTATGCCCTATATCCCAGCAGACCCCAGGTAAGTTGTCAAACTGTTCTTAAACGGTTTGACTACTTACTCTGGCATGGGATCCTGGCACTACTGGCACCATAACTACTACACTGAGCTGTAGTGGTTATTGTGTCTGGATTATTTCTTTAAATAATCTACAAGTACCCCTTCCGAGATCAGGCTCTGGATCCGCCACTGGGTGCACTTGCGTTATCATTGACATTTTATGATACATTAATTAGATGATTCCCTTCCTGTAGATTGTAATCTTATCTATTCTAATCACCTTATTTTCTATGACATGCATGGCAATGCTTTCCTATCGGGAATTTACGGTCGCTGGATGTCCTTATGCAGACTAACCACCCAAAAGTGCTTCTAGTGGCTGACAGCCACTAGACGCAGTCTTAACCCTGCAAGGTAATTATTGCAGTTTCTCAGTACCCCTTTAAGAAGTTGAGTGCATATTTTTTTCCTGGGATAACCACTAAATAGGTTCTGTCTTTCATAGGAGAAGCATAAAGCATATTTACACTAATCTAATGCCCCACTGAATCTAATGCGCACCTCAATTATTGAAACCTGGATTAGAGCAAAAAGAAAAACGTATTTTTTTTAAGGATAAAATAAACATTTTAAGTTTGAGTTTAGATTTGTTGTACTTTTTCAGGTGGTTTGATTACCAGAAGGCCACATATATTGACTTAAGGTTTCATATACAATCGCCGTGAAAAAGACCAGAATGGGGTCAACACGTTGATTATTTTAATCACAGATGTGATTATTGTAAAATATTAAACACTTTTACATTACATTTAACTTAGTTTAACACATTAGGCAACAAGAGCTGTACCCAAAGGCACATAAAGCAGAGCCTTCTTCATATCCATGACTGGTGTAATAATCTGATAGTGTGTACAATGACAGGGTGCATTGCAAAGTCCATAGGAATCTTAGAATGACAGATTGCAATATAATTTCTCTTGCTGGAGGTCATGGAGCTAAAGTGGCCTGCTCAGGGTTTCTGCAGCTGTCATTGGCTTGTCCCACTTTACGAAAAGTGACAAGGCAGTTATTTCTTCTGCCTTCGCTTGCAGCCACCATGCCAGGAGAAAATTTTAATTTTATTGACAATATGCAGTGGCCCGCAGGGTGCAGATTATTCCTATCAAGTAATTGATTTAATTATTAATAAAGCACATTAATCAGAAACAAATGGCTATATATTCGCCTCCTAAAATGCTTGTTCTCCAATAAAACATCAATCTGTCCAACATTTTTCATAAAGCGAAAATAAATCTGTTTAGTTATAGAGTTATACATCAGCTTCTCCAAATGTCTGCTTTAGAGACTTAAGAAACTACAAATCATTAACATAGCTGAAAAACATATCTTCTTAAAATGGATTATTCACTAAACAACAAATTGTATTGAATTGAAAAATTCTAATCAAAATAAATAAACTGAAGCAATTATTTAATTCCTGTATAGTCACATCTGCACAAATGGATAATAATCTAGATGTCTGTTGCAATTAAGATTTACATTTACATTATTTACATATGCTATATACAAAGCACTTATATAAAATAACTGAATTGTAGCTGTGTTTGAGCATGTACTATGAGAATGTTTGTTTCAAATAGAGCTATTCAAATCCAAATCCAAAAGGCACAGGTTCATACATAACATATTTTTGTATATAAAGCAGATTAAACCAAAAACAGTCACTTGTGAAAAGAAAGACATGATGGCAAAACAAAGTTAAAGAGGCACTGTAGTTGCATCATCTCATTGAAGTGGTTATAGTGTCTGGAGTATCCTGTCACTAAACTTCCCCTCACTGTTAAATTGGCTAATGCTAAGTAATAGTCCCCAGCAGTTCATCCCCTCTGTACTCTAGGGCTAATGAGCAAGAATTAGCCTGAGCTGTAAAAGGCAGCAGTGATTGGCTGAGAGTGTCAGCTGACCATTTTTAGCCTATATTATAAGTTTGTTTGCATTATCAGTAGTGTGTTAGCAATAAGAAGGTAATATAAGGGTGATATAGCTAGAGGCTAAATATCCTATGATTAGGTAGAGTAGTAGGCATCTGAAACTAAAACAAAACAAAAACTAGTGTTCTAGGCCGAATATGAAAGGCTTGAGAGAAGTTATCGTACATGTTTCAGCCAATGCCACAAACATGCTTCAGCTGGGAACTGGCTCTGCTTACCGAATGGTGTTTCTCCTGCCTCCCAACCACACATGGGTGTCCCACAAGCTGCGAGGTTCAATACGGCGGTGCTCCAGCTTCCCCACTCCCAAAGCCCAGGATGGCGTGTGAGCCGGGGCCTGTTCACCACTAAACCCTCTAGCTCTAGTGGCAGGCCTAAAGTCTTGTGAGACTCCCACTCCACAAACAGTTCCACAGGGTTGTCGATGGCAGCTAGGCGCAGTGTCCATCTTGGCACTCGGCCCAGAAGGAGAGCAGCGCACCGGGACTACGCAGGAGACCTCCACGTTCATGGATGAGGTGAGTAGTTACTTTTTCTGATGGAACTCAAGCCAGGTCCAGAGCTGTGCACAGTGCATCAAAGGCTGCTTGGAACCAACTCCTGGGTGGCAGCAACGACCATCTTGGAGATCAGGCCTCATCCCATGCCCCAATACATACAATAAAAACCAAATAGAAAAGTTATCTGCGCACTAGTAAATCTTTTTTTTTTTTTCTTTGGTTTTTAAGCTGAAGGAAGCAAGGTGAATTGAAATAATAGTTACTATATAACCTGCATGAATTTAAATATGCATGCTTTTTTTATTTTGGTTTTTATTGTATGTATTGGGGCTGATATTTGCTATGGTCGTTGCTGCCGCTCTGGAGTAGTGGGAGTTTGAGTGCAGGACTTATATTTGTGTGTTTGTATTTACCTTTGTATCACGCAACCATGTTACAATGTTTTCGCCCAGCCCATGTGTTCCCTATTAAATGTTATTATATATGTATCTGTTGAGGGGGTGGGGCCTGACTTCCAAGATGGGCAGAGGTAATTTTACACGTCCTGCAATCTTAAGCAAATAATCTGATTTACCTGCCAATATTGCCAGTGGAATTGTACCGGAACACGTAGCAGACCTACACTCACTAAGCAGAGCTATCTGGCTCAGTGTAACAGCGGCACCAAAGTGAGGCATGCTCCTCCAGACCTTTGGCCTACTGCTGCCTGTGGACAGATAGCTTGGAGAAACAGTCGATCTTTAGGCTACTGACGCGTACCATGAAGCGATCGATAAGCAACCCCGCTGCCCCCCCTCTGGACCGGTGGGGGTTATCCCAGTCCCCTTCGACCTGAGGTGCATACCTCAGCCAGTTCCTGATAAACATCACAGGCTCCACTCAGCGCATGGCGGTCGCTGAGGAGAGGCGCACAACTCTGGTACCATCCAACACAGTGAAGGAGGTGACAAGGACCGAAGGCCAAGGGCAGAAGGGGCCTCTCTCGGGCAAATCCATTATTCCTGCTCCAACTTCTCATGCTATGTGCCTACCCAGGCCAAAGGCCACCAGGGACTTGCACCCATGGCATCATATACATCGCCGGAAGACCGCCCGTCGCAGGAGGCAGAAAATCTGGGATTTCCATTGCACCCAAGAGAGGATAGACTTGACTCACGAAGAATCAGAGTTTGTGGTTTGCAGATGCTGGCCTTCAAATGTACCTTGGGCTTGAGAGGGATCTTGTCTCATCCTCTCAGCGCTGTTACCCTCTGCACCCTTCATGCCAACCTTTTCTTGATGCCAAGTACTGGAGTCGGCTGAGTACGCACTTCAAGACTTCTGTGCTTTGCTGACCCCTGCAAGATGCTTTGCTGTTGTTACTAGCCACCATCTTACACATTCCAGGTTTACATGCCGCCTCATATAACTCAATGTGATGCTTTTCATTTCTTTAGCTTTCATCGTTTCTTTGGTGGAGTTATATATATATGATGCAACTCTGATAATGTGTGTCGGGCCTAGGTGTTTTTTTACACATGATATCCAGCACGCTATAAAAGCCTCATTTGTAACCTTAGTTTGAGATGTTGACTCAGACATATCAGTACAGCAAGTGGTAGATATCAGTATATTCGCCCAGCATGTTTATCCTGTTTAATATTTCTACATAATAGGGCAGCTGACTCTTACTCAATAGTTAAACAGTAAAGTCTTATATGCAATGGCACTGCTGCCTGCTGATATACCTCTTCTGCTAGCCTGATGCTTGATATTGTTTGATATTACTGTGTTTGTTCATGCTGTTGTGACATGTCAAGCTTACATGGAATCATTTGCACAACCAAAACTGTCTCTCAGCGATTTCTTTGCCTGAAGCTGAAAGAAGCAAGGTGAATTGTTAGTGTACGTCCAACCTAAGAGGTTTGCATTGACGTGACAGGTGGGCTTACCTCTAATGACCATTGGAGTTACTAAATAACCTCCTTTTATCTAAATATGCAGAGAGATTGTGGCTAGTGCACAGTTAACTCTTTTTTTCTTTGGTTTTTATTGTATGCATTTAATTATACATGTTTTAATTGGGGTATATCTAAAAAACGCTTGCAAAAGCTGCAGATCTTTTGTCTACAACATTTACAAACCCTACTCTTCTAATCCCGCCCAGACTTTCTGTGGCTGTCCAATAAATTAACCAGGTTAGCTTTATAAAAGTGTCAATTTCTATTAAAATCGGCACTTTTATAAAATTTCAAAAAGAGGACACAAAGTATCTCAGCAAGCTAAAGTGCATTAGGTGGCTGGGGTGCAAATGTTGATACAGAACACTACACGAGGTCTGTCACTTTGCAGGTTTTGCTTTTAAATACAGTCTTTTTCTATCTCTCTATTTTTCCTTGTTTGATTTATTTTTTATTTTTTATTGTGTGAAGAAGAGAACAATATGCTTGTAGCACCCCGACAGCGCTAACAAGCAATGCATTAACGTACAGAATTATACAGTGTCATGGTATGAGATAGTCACACACATTTTTTTTTTTTTGAACAAGAAGAAACAGGCTGATATATGGTTTGCTTGTAAATTATAGAGAGGGCTCTTTAGATAGTCACTGCATACATGTTTAGGTTAACTCGCGTAGTCACAGGCTTGTTCAACGTGTCTTAAGTGATAATATAACAGACTTATCGAAACATGTCAGGAGCATGTGAGGCGGTATCCTATACGATAAACTTTGACATGTGGATGGTGTTAATGAAATAAATGGCAAAACAGGCTTTGGAAGCGGGATTAAAGTAAAATGATTAGTAGGAAACCAGCTAAACTAAATCAGTGTGTGTATCTAGCAGTGTTGGCTAGACCAGTAGACCGATCTGTATGAATAACATACCTGCTTTTGAGGGTCTCAATAGGTTGGGTTAAGACTTAGTAATGAGCTAAGGCTAGGCTCATTTTAAATGGGTATGTACAGCTAATTGCAGGTATTAGTGGTATTCCTGGACCTAGTCCATGCCAACATGTTTATTATAGCATGTGGGGCGTTCTGATCTGCACTGAATGACTTCTTCTAGCTTTGGCAGTACTGTGCTTCCCTCTAATTGCTTATCTGAGGTGTCAGCTACGCCGGTATAATTGGGGAACTTGCAGAGTATAATTATGCTAGCATACATCTAGATTGAGGGAGGCAGGGAAATGAACATGGGGGATCAAGATAAACCTCTAGCAAAAGTTAGTGTTTAAGAATGTCATTCTAGTCCTTGCTTTTTAGGCGTGGAGTAGGCTTGTCGAAGAGGCAGATTGATTAGCCTATGCCTGACACCGGGGGAGTGTAGCAAAACAGTCCCAAGTCCCTCTTTACCGCGCTCCATCTGCTCTGGGCTAGTGTGGGCGATCTCCATGCTTTGCCGTGCTTCTGCCTGGTTCCGTCTAGGTCCGTTCACCAAGTGGCTCCAAAACCGCCATTTTGGGGATAGCGAGGTTGTAGTTGCGGTCCGCAATGGCTTTGCATTTTTGGTTGCTCTTGGTGGTTTCTGTTGGTCGCCCATGGTGTGGTTTAGCTTGACCGGGTGTGAGTTTCTGTGCTCCACTTGTCCTTGTGTCGCTGCTAGGTTACGATCCCTTCTGCTCTGCAGCTTTTGCCAGAAGCTGCAAACGAGTTCGTCCAGGCGCTGTTTCAGTGGCATTTGCAGGCTGTATGGCACTGCTACAAAGTCAGCCTCCGCCATCTTGGCTTCATTGACGCTGCTATGTGTTTGCATAAGAGATGACTGATGGAATGCATTCCAGAATCTTTGGACTTTGGAACTTCACCTCAGGACCTCATTTCCACACTATGGAATTGTGTTATGCGCCTGTGTGTATATTAATGTACAGTATACTTTAAGCAGAGTGTCAATGTGTGTATGAATGGAAGGTAAGCAAGTGTGAATAAAGCTTATGCATAAACACACAAAGTGCCAGTATAATAATGTTGGGGGGAGGGCGGGGTTGTTTCCCATGCTTTTATGTGAATATTGGAATGGAATTTATGATAGTGTATATTAACGCAGAGATCTATTTATGCAGAGTTTCAGGGGAACCATCATTTCATACGTTTCAACTTGTATCTCTCCCAGTATTACCCCTTCCCCATACCCAACTTCCCACACTTGTGTACCCCTCCCATATCACATTAGTTATCTTTCTATTGGTCCTCACATCCAGCTGGAAATAAAGTGAAATATTCTGACAAGAGTGTCTCCTGTGCCACAAGGCCACTCTACATTTTACAAAATTAAACAGCTACAGCAACTCACAAGAGATTAGGGCTGTCCTGGCCAGTGGCCATGCCTCGTAAAACAGTATGGTTTCTTCCCTCACTAACGGCCTTGGTTATCATTTGAGAGCAAGGTGTGAGAGCTTTTTGGTGATAGTTTCAGTATGGAGGCAGCCATTTTGCAATTCACAAGATTTAACGTCTCAGTGACACCATTTATAAGAAAATAAACAGGCTAGCAGAGAACACGAGATTTCAGCCACTTGTCCACTTTCCACTGGGCAGGAAATAGGGAATATTTCTCTGAATTTAATGATGATTCTCTGTAACCAAGTATGGCCAAGGTTAGCTACTGTAATCCCCCTCTCCCAATCCCATTGCCATTTTATCCCTCCCATCCCCACTTCAATAGTTATTCCCGCCTCACAGTCATAGTCACATTCCCACTAATTCCACTGACTGCCATAAGGCCATTCATCCTGTTCTAGCATCTCACTGGTCTAGTTCTATCCACCCATCCCTCCCCTTTTGTCCAATCTAATACTTCTCAAAGATAAGCGTTGGGGACTTAAGGTACATGTACAGTAACTACTGTGCTCTGCCAATTAGATGCTTTTTATAAAATAGCTTTGGTATGATATGTGTTAATAGCATTCAGTTTCATGCTGTGCATGATAAAGCCAAACCTAAAGACTTTCATAATTCAAAGGTCTTCAGGATAAAGCACCTCTAGTGGAAGCCAGTCTGACAATGATTAGAGTTGTGTTTTTTGACAAATGTAAATATTTTGCCCTTTCCTAGAAATGGAAATTTAGACATTTGTCAGAGAAAAAAACATCAATGCACCAAAACCACTGCATTAAAATTTATTGATTTAGGTGCTTAGAGAGTCCTTTTAAGGGGAAGTGAGTGGGAGTTTAGTTAAGCTGGAATAATTATGCATTTTCATGCTAGGAGTTCTCTAAGCAATCTGTTAAGACTTAATGGTCACTGCATAGCACACCCATCTATCTTTATATTTTTAGAACGTTTATAATTTAAAGGAGCAGTCTAAGTATAGTAACAACAACAGTGTGCGGTAGTGGTTATAGTTTCAGTAGTCCCATATATGGACCATCTTACTGTAAGTAGTCAAATCATTTTAGAATGGTGTGACACCTAAATCCTTCAGTCCAACCCTCTCTCCATAGATACCAAATGAAGACAGTTCACTTTACTCATTAGATATATCAGTTTCATTCCTACTTGAACAGAATTACTTGGCTGAGAGTGTCCGCTACGAGGGCCAGACCAGAGACACCTTGGGAGGCTTGGGGGGTAAGTACCAAACTGTTCAAAAAATGATTTGACGTCTTAAAGTGGGACAGCACCAGAGGACTCCTTGGCGCCATGACTGCCACTTTAACAGGTAAGGTGTCTCTACTTCGTACTACAGTTACACTTATCTCACTGGAATACTGTTTTATATTTACTGCCGAGGTCAAACATTCTCTTCACTTGGAATATAAACTCTACATTTCTCTCTTCGTGTGCAGTTTCCATTCCCTCAGACTGTCACTTTCCATCTCTGGATATATTTTCTGCTAACTAGATCTTTTGCATTCACTTATAGATTCAAACACTAAATCCTCTGTATATCTGGGTCTATGAGCACTTCACTGTCCGTCACCCACTTCACTGTTCCTTCACACTTATCTTTCAATTAAGCTCTCACTTTCTGCCTCTTGGCTTCTCCTGATCTCAGTCAGTGAAATACAAAGCCAGTGCTTTAGGCAAGGATAACTTTTCTGGCTAAGCCAATCAGAACAGTGACTGCTCTAAACCATATCAAAGAGTCCATCCTTGGTCAGAATATTGATTTGTACATAGAAACGTTCTTTGGCTTCACTGATGGTTAAAGTGAACTTGACAAAAAAACGCAGTCTTTAAGAAATACGCTACATTAAGTATATTTCTGGATAAATTAACTTTGTGTAAAAACCCCTTTAATGAGCAACAGTGAGTACTACAAAATTTAGTTAAAGGGACACTACAGGCACTAAAACAGCTTTAGCTCAATCGAGCAGTTTTAGTGTACAGATAATGTCTCTGCAGTCTTACTGCTCAATTCTCTGGCATTTAGAAGTTAAATTACTTTGTTAATTCAGCCATAGCCACACCTCCCTGAATGTGACCTGCACAGCCTTCCAAAAAACTGCTTGTAAAACGAGATCTAATGTTACATAGTTACATAGCTGAAAAGAGACTTACGTCTAGGGCCGGCCTTAGGGGTGTGCGAGCTGTGCGGCCGCACAGGGCGCCATGGAGCAGGGGCGCCATGTGGCCGACACAGCTCACACATGGCCGGCTAGGATTAAAAATACAATTTTACCCATCGACCGAGGAGAAGACAATGGGCAAGAAAAAAACAAACCTAAAGTCGGACAAAGCCCTTTTCAGCCGCGACATCGGTGAACTCACAGAGGGTCGCATGGGAGAAAATGGCACTGGGGGAGGACGAGTACTCTGACTCCTCCGGTGACTTCTATCCAGACCAGCGACAATGGGCTCCGATAAATCAGCCCTTGGTGCCCAAGTCCAAAGCACCCCCAGCGACAGGAGAACCAGTAACAGCAGCCCTGCTGTTTGACTAAACCAACAAACGCACCCCCAACCGCCACGGCCGACATTATCATAAAATTTCAGACCCACCAAGACAAAGCCGCTGTCCTGGCAGCGAGCCGGCAGAAAACCCCTCTAATATTCAAGGACTCTCAAATTGCGTTATTCCCTGACCTCACAAGAAGCACATTAAGTTGGCGTAAAACACTGCAACCAAGCTTACAACTTATGAGAGCCAATAACATCCAGTACCGCTGGGGCACACCGCGGCTGATTACATTCACTGCCAAGGGGACTGTCTACCGGGCGAGAAGCCCTCAGGACATAGACACTTACCTGGGCCAATTGGGCCTAAAAACCCCGCACACGGAATCCACGACCACCTCAACCAGGCTCGACCCCATCAATGCCAAGGAATTCATACCAGGTCATCCCGTCAAGCCACACCAGCAGGCAACACAACCTGAAGGAACCGCACTGATCGGAGAACTCTCCACCATCCCGGATGTCACAGAGCCCACCGCTAAAAACCCGAGACTACAATAATAATAACCACATTCAAATGTGTTTTTCTTGTTCACTGGTAAACACTCTAGCGTACAACCTCAGAGACAGAGATCTTAAACCTTAAGAACACTAATGCGCTGGAGAGGACTGAAGTTTCACCTTAACCGGAACTTTTCTTTTTTCTTCTCTCTGTTGTGTTTTTGTTGTTGCTCTCCTCTTTACCCTTATTCTTGTTAGGTTACATTTTTTTTTTTTATTATTGCAATGTAACCAGAGACACAAACGCCTATGGGAGTACCAGTCTTAGATCAGAGAAGAGCACAATAGCACCACCGTGACTCCCCCCCCCCCCACTTAACCCAACAGATAGGTGTATTTGATGCTGTATATCCCCAGGAGGGCCTTTTTTTTGGCATTAGTATAACCAATTGTTAATCATAAGCCCAGGGGCCGTTCTAATATTACTATGATATTATATTGTTGACTAACATGTATCTTTAAAAAAATAAAAAATCAAAACACTCAGCATGACCCCATGTACTGGGCATCTAATATGCTTCTGTTCTTGTATGTATACCATAAGGGCATGACCCACTCTGTTTATTACATTACATTCTGTACATGCTGAGTGACCAAAATAAAGAATTTTAAAAAATAAAAAATAAAAATAATAAAACAAATACAATTAAAAATAAAAAAAATTGCGGTGGGGCGGAGCTTCCCGTGCGACAGTGACAGCGGTGGCTGGAGCTAAAAGTGCCGGATAACTGCTGCAGGGGAAGCAGGAAGGAGTCCCTGCTTCCCCAACAACCAGTCTCCAGGAGCTGCACTGCCTCCACAATGAACAGAGGTAACTATGTGTAATTGTCAGTGTAAGTGTGACTGTCTCTGTGTGTGTGACTGTCTGCCTGTGTGTGTGTCTGTGTGTGTGACTGTCTGCCTGTGTGTGTGTGTGTGTGTATGACTATGTACCTGTGTGTGTGTGACTGTCTGCCTGTGTGTGTGACTGTCTGCCTGTGTGTGTGTGTCTATGTATGACTGTGTGTGTGTGACTGTCTGCAGGGCCGCCACCAGAAATTTTGGGGCCCCTAACTCAGCTCAGGGTCTGGGCCCCCCGGGGGCCCACCTCCAGGCCCGCCCACAGGGTCCACCTCCAAATCCCGCCCACAGGAATACACACAC